TATATTTAAAGACTGTTCAAGGCACTGATTAGGGCTTTTATACCTCAACTGCACTTACGTATTTGCATGCAGACTATAATGATGTCTTACATTGGTAAACATAGAATAGGCCACATGTTTCCATATGAAGGATGCTATTAATCCGCATTGCTTCAGTTAAAGCATTAAATTTCATGTTTTCCAAGTCAGATTTTCAACAATGTCCAGAATTGTATGTATGCAGCATCCAGTTTTATAATACTACACTACACATTAGTACACCTCACTTAAGAAATTTTCCTATTGCTTTTTAAACTTAATAGAACAGAACCATTGAAGTAATTCAGCCATATTCATCCTACGAATGGGCTACACCTCCAGTAGAAATTGTCCAGAGAAGGTACCTTCTTTAGTAGCCTCACTTGGGACTGGAGTAAAAGATCAGGCTGTAAAAAAGATTTAAGTAAGAAGCATCCACAGGTAGTTGGGAAGAGTATCTGCAGATACCGTGTAAGAATTTTTTTAAAATCAGGGTTATGTTTGTAACTTATTTAAAGAAAACTGCTGTAAATTTTATTTCCACATAATTAATCATTACTTCATTATGGAAAAAAAACCCTGCCCACAATGTGAAATATGCTTGGTTGGGGTTTTTGCTCTGTTTTGTTGGCTGGCTGTTTACCAGTCAGCAACCAGTGTTGTCATGTCTCTTGTAGTCAGGGCTTTTTCTGCTTGAATCTGTTCACATCTACCAGTAACTATTAGTTTGACCTTGCTAATTCTATGTGTACTTAACTTGTAAAAAATAACCCTAATTTCTACCAGGGACTGTCATTCCTAACTCACCAAATTGTGTTTGGTTATTAGTATGTATGACTGTCAGTCTTTTTCCTCCTAAGGAAGAGGACTATACAGAATTTCCTTTGTCCTAGTTTAGTTTTCAGTGCAGCTAAGAGAAAAAAATGTGTTGTAACTGTCTATAAAATACTGTGATTCATTTTTTTCCACCTGATGTTTTTCATAGAGAGCCAAATAGTAATATTCTGAATAATCTGCACTTGTGCCTTAATGTAGATCCTATTTTTAAAACTTCTATTAAACAATATGAATTTAACCTTGAAAGGACCACATGATGAAGTCACTCCAGCCAGGCATCCTAGAACTCAACTGTGTGTTTTATATGCTACCTGAACTAATGATTGGGGCATATATGCTCTTTGTTCCAGTACAAAGTATGCTATGAAAGGCCTGAGCTAATGTTCTTTAGTCTTGTATTTGCTTAAATGAACCAGATGGTCTCCCAAGTTTGTAACACATAGAGAAAATATAAGTATTAAAACAATTACACTGATACTTTTGTATTCTTTTCTTCTCTGTATATTTTAATTAGAATTTTAAGTGGTACATAGTAGGGAGTGCTATATAAACAGCAAGTAAGTAAGTACACAATGCTCTCTGTAAGTGTGGTGGTGCTGGCTTTTGTTTTAACATTCTCAAACTCTCACCATAAGTCTCAGAGGTATTCTTTACTCAGGCACTGACTAGACATACTGAATACTTGAAGTGGATGGCATACAGGAATGAGATGTAGTTAAATTTCTGCAGTAACACATAAAATAAACAACTAGACTTTCTTTTCTTTCCATTACAAGGCAGAGACTGAAACCATTTGAAAGGATTTAGAAGAAATTAGTGAGCAGACATCTTTGGAGACTCTTATCTGAGGAGGCTGAATGCGCAAAGCTGCTCTTCACCAAAAATATTTTAGGGACCAAATTTTCATGCATTTAAAGTAATTATTAGTATAGCTGGTTCTTTCTAGGCTGTGAATCCAAAATGTTACCCTGTTTAAATATTCTGTGATGATCAGCATAGCATTTTGACCTCTGAAACTGTGCTTTTTGGACAAGTTTGTATCCGAGTCTCTTCAACTTCTCTTTGAAGTGAAGGTGTTAAGATGGGGCAAGAAGAAAACTGACCCTGTGGCACTTTTAGCAAGTATGTCAGTGAAGCGTTGTTTAGGGGGACACTACTGATCCAACCAGCAGGTTGGATTATTCAAAATTGTTCTTTAAAAGTAAAAAAAAAACGGTTTGGACGAGACTCAACATTTTTCTTCTTTTCTTCCCCCCTGCCCCTTCCCTCCTGAATGTGATGATTAAACAATGTGTTTCATGTTCATGCATCTAAAAACATCCAGAAAGCATTTGTCCGCAGTGGGCTTAGCTACGATCTAAACATCTCTCAACCACTTCTATGCAGCTGCTGATCCAACTGCAAAGATTAACATCCCTGTTATGTACGTGAGTCATCTTTATTCTAATATGCTTCTGAAAGTAGTCCCTTCCCCATTAAATCCGTCCACTACTGTGGATCAGATTAGCCTTCCACTCTCCTCCTTTTAGTCACATCACTGCAGTGTGTGGCAGAAGCTGACAGCCCAGGGTTGGCACTGTAGCTCTCTACTTTAGCTCTCTAATGTCTCTCTACTCTTTGTTTGACATCTCCCCACAGTTTCCATGAGAATCTTTCAGAATCAAGGCTAGGCATCTGGGAATCTAGAAACACTGGCTACAGGAAAGGAAATGCTAGTGAAAGCAGGACTTTTCCATTCTTCTAGTTTTATACAAAAGAATAGCTCTAAATCAAGAGTCTCACTCAGATACTTAATAATGATACTGTCAGTAACATTTTAAAATGTAGATTTTATTAATAAAAATAATTTTGATTTAAATAAAATTTCAGTTTATGCACAGTGGGTTTTTCTGTACAGGGGTGAAACATAGAATCACAGACTGGTTTGGGTTGGAAGGGACCTTCACAGCTCATCTAGTACAACCCCTTTGCAATGAGCAGGGACATCTTCAACTAGAACAGTCTGCTCAGAACCCCCTCCGTCCTGGCCTTGAATGTCTCCAGGGATGGTGCATCCACCACCTCTCTGTGCAACCTGTGCCAGTGTTTTACCACCCTCAGTGTAAAGATTTGTTTCCTCATTTCCAGCCTGAATCTCCCCTCTTTTAGTTTAAAATTATCAATCACCCTTCGTCCTATTGCAACAGACCCTGCTAAAAAATCTATCCCCATTTTTCTTACAGGCTGTTTTTAAGAACTGAAAGGCTGCAATAAGGTATCCCCAAGAGTCTTCTCCAGGCTGAACAACTCCAACTCTCTCAGCCTTTTCTCATGGGAGAGGTGCTATTCTGTTATTTTGTCTAAGACTATCACAGCATTCTTGAGATATAGATCAGTGTTATAAAAATATACTTGATCTTAGTTTAAAACATGAGGCACTCTGGAGGTTCTGTAGACAGCTCAAACAATTTAGGTAGAGCATTTAGAAGGAACAGACTGTGGTGTAGAAGGGCTGTTGGTACAGATTCACTTGGAGTATCTTCAGAAATGATGTGTGGTGTCAGAAAACGTTGCATTTCAATTATCCAGCATCACAGCTTGGTCCCAGGTGTATCTTTAGAAGAAGTTTGCATCAGTTGTGACATCCCTTTGTGTGCTTTGTTTGGCAGCAGTGTTTCTCACAGAGTTTGATGAACTCGGACACGATGAAAACGGAGGAAGCCAGTATGGTGAGGAACAGCAGGTCTGCCAAGAGGGAATGGAGCAGAGATGAACACAGCTGGATTTAGTGCTAGGCAGAAATCCCCAGGTAAGGGCTTTCCTGCAGCAGGTATTTGTGCTGGTGTAACTCCATAGGTGGATAGCCTGTCCACGCTTTTACTAGCTTTAGAATTACATGACAGCAGTAGACAAGGAGTACCACAGTTGATATAATCCACTTGGTGGGTGAAGCCTCTGTGTTAATCATTTGGGATCATTGAACCCTGCTTCTAACAACAGAACTAAAGTAGATGGAATACAATGTCTGTAGAGTTCACTTAGACTGACTAAAATGGTAAAATACATGTTGCTTTTCAGTTAGGAAACATTCCCACTGCTTTTTCAAAATGGAGTGGCTGTGTCATGATCCTAGATAGAATTATCTAGGGAAATACTGTCATAGAGAGCTCATGGGAAATCTTGACAGGCCTCCATTTTCATGCGTTTATGTGCAGTAAATCAAAATTCAAAACCTGGCAGGGATAATATCATTAAATACTACTGCTATTTGTGTTTATCTATGTGTATGTATATAGGCATATAGGAGCTGTTGATTGGGTTCCCCTACCAGCAGTCTTTTGGGAGATATCGTGTAGCAGTTTGGCAATCACATCTGCTTTTAAAAATAGCTTTAATGAATAAAATACATTATTTATTTTGCAACTTACCTAGCACTCCTAAATTCTCTGTCTGGAAGATCTTTTGTAGTGGAGGGATGTATATAACAGCCAGCTGTCCCAGAAACGATCCCAGCACAGAATACAAGAACATGCGGTTTCGGAAAAAGCCTATTTCAAATATCAACTTTGTCTGGAGAAGGGGGAAAAAAAGCGGAATATAACATTTCCCAGTCTCCTGTTGGTGCTTGAATGTCACCCTGTTTCTTTGCATGTAAACTCCATTACCTTTTGAAGTTACATGCTAACTTGGGCAGAGCTACATAGTTGAAAGTGTTGAACTATAATGGATAACTTTATTTATACAAATGATAAAAATCGTGCTGCTTTAAATGACATTAAAACCCCCCTTCGTATGCAAAATACTAGCGTCTAATGTTTATGTTAGTGTTTTGAAGCAAGGAATTATTGCTGACAGAGCAATCTTACCTGGGAGCGGCATGTCAGGGCATTGAAGAGGTCAAAAAACACAAAACAGGTAAAAGTCATTGTTGTAGTTCGAGGAGTTATGCCACCTTTTGGATTCTGAAAGAACATGTGTAAATTCAGGGGTTAGTTAAGCCTTATAAAAATATGTCAATTCAGTAGATGAATTAAATATTCCCTTTAATGATCCCAGTCAAATCGAAGGGTAGTAAAACAAAGGAATTGATCTATTTCTAGCTATTAAAGGCACCACTAATTTCTCTCTGCTAATTGTTGAGGCTATGATCTTATCAATCAGCCATGTTTTAAATTCTTAAACTGATGTGGAAATTCAGTAAAGAATATTCTAAATTATATTATTTGAACTGTTATAGTGACAGTCACTAACAGCAATCCATAGTAATTGTGTCCTTTTAATTTTCTACATGCATGGAAAGCTAGAGGTGAAAAGTGCCTTAAAGCACTGATATTGTATCAGGTAATAGTTTTCCCAATGCAGGAAGGCAGAACCAGAACCAGGAGGTGACCCTGGTTTCTTAACCCTCTGCCCATTCTGATCCTTCCTTATTGGATGTACTTCAGAAGGTCCTTCACAAGTACTTCAGAAATTGCCCTTCGTTTTGTCCTCCACCCTGATGAAAACAAGATCCTCTTGCAGATTTTCCTCACCTCCTTCCAGAAGACAAAGAGGGTTCCACTGATGATAATTACAGCTGACATGAAGATTTTCAGGATCAGTGATTTGCTGAGTATAGTATCTGTGATACATCGGGGTGGCTGTTTGATAGTATCCCTATCAACTGGTTCCACTCCCAGGCTGCCACGAAAAGAAGCAGAGGGACGTGTTTTATTGAGACAGATCATCCCAAAATGATACTGCTGATAAAACAGAATGGATCTGGAGGATGTGATTCATCCTATATTGGAATATAGCATGAGTATTCTGGCAGGGTTATATAATGTCCCAAATTTGTCTGCAACATGTATGCCAAAGGTCTATTTTTTTTGTGTATTGAGCAGATTGACATATTAGACCAAGGCAGTAATATTATCAGTATCCCATCCCAGAGGGAGAGCTAGCTGTGAGACTGAGGCCAAAATCTCTTCCATGTTGTGGAAGCAGTAACTGTAATTAGCAGTACTTGTAATTAGTGGTTGGATGAGGTTCCCAAGTCTTACGATTTTGGGGCATATACCTCTGCATATAGCCAGTATTCCCTTGCCAGTCAGACCTGCAGGACTACTAAGCAGGTGATGCACTTGGGATAACAGACCATTCCTATTCAAAAAGTGGAATAATTGATTTGACCACGAAACAGGAACAGGTAAAATCTCAAGTAAATGTGAATTAAATGCTTTTGGAGAGATCGGGAGGGAGCCAAAGTACAACTTGTCTTAATCTAACCACCAAAAGACTGCCATTGATAAGAAATTGTAACAGCTTGTGTTTCTAAGCCAAATTCAGGCATATTAAAACCAAGGACATATCGCTCTCTTGACTCTTCCGTACCTCTGGGCTGGTGGCCCATCCATGATGATGTTGATCCATAAGATCTGCATAGCATTGAGTGGATTTGGCAGGTTGAGCACTGTTGACAGAGTAATTAGGCTCAAAGCTGAAATACTCCTGTGAAACAAAGAGGAACATTATTCTGCATGGCCTCACCAAGAAGGTACTTTCACTGGAATTGAAGCAAACGGGAACTTACGTGCTCAGCTGGAACCTCACGAAATTCTTTATATTGTAAAATATTCCCTTTCCCTCTTCTATTGCATTCCTGGAAGGGAGAGAATTACCAGTATTCACATAATTTTGCATTGAGCCCTCTGTGACGCTCAAAATGCAAGTTGCCTTCTGCAGTGCTTATTTCAGTTGAAATTCAGACCCTGGCTCAGGAGGAGGATATCAGTGCAGGTTCTTGGTTAAAATTACTTTGTCAGAACTAGTAGGTCTGAAAACCTGGTTCGTATGGTATGGTCTTGGTTCATAAAGCAGGCCTGTGACTTATTTATAGCTTCACTCTACCCTGTTTACTCCCTCTGTCGTTGTGAACCAACAGAGCATTGCAAATTATGTCTTTACTCTGAGCTTCCTGGACAAGGCAGAGAGCACAAGTCGTGATCTCCCCAGACTTCCAGGCACTTTCAAATCCCTAGTTAGTTACAGCAATGGGAAACCAGGCTTTCAGATGAAAGGTAGCTTTGTCACTACCACCTGAAACAAGTCATTGCCTGTATGTGACTGAAAATGAGCCAGACCCACACTAGGTGTCTCCACTTACTGCCTGCTGACTTGCATGTCCTGAGTCTTGTGTTATTTCCAGGGATAGTCACACAGCAGACTTCTTGCAGTGAATAGCCAGAAACTATGAAGTAATAAAGTGTCTGACAGTAAGAGAGTCACTGAACCTACATTACTGTTGAGAAGTCATCGTCCACGAGAATCATGTTGGCAGCCTCTTTGCTGACATCTGTACCAGCTTGTCCCATTGCAATCCCGATATCGGCAGATTTAAGGGCCACAGCATCGTTAACACCGTCTCCTGTCATTGACACAATAGCACCAGCCCTCTGCAAAGCCTGTGAGAGTGGAGAGATGAGCAGCTCTGAAGCCAGGAGGAGATAAGTCCTATTGGCAATCACAAGATTTACATGTAATATTGGACGTGTAGAAGTGTTGTGTGACTTTGAGGGTAAAACAGACTCAGCAGCCTATTGAGGGCAGAACTCAGACCAAGAATTAAGAGACTGGATTTTCAGAAGTATAAAACTCCAATAGGATTTAGAAGAGGTGAATAAAGTCCTCAGAAATCATTGTCCAGATATTATGCTTGCTAACATCTCACTAGTATCTTTCAAATAACCCAGGCCAGATGTACAAGAAAAATGCTGATGTCGTTAGTGTAAATAGTGCCAATTCATGCCAGAACTGAGCTGCCCTCCTCCCTCCCTCCCTTTCCTTACAACTTGTTTTAGTGAGACATACAATGAATTTGAGAGGCTTTTAGTACCTTTATTATTTTCAGTTTGTGCTTTGGACTTGTCCTGAAGAAAATGGAAACCTGAAAAGCAAAAAAATACAATCTTGTATTAGACAGTTGCTGTTGGAAATAGGCCTTGTTTTTGTAATCAAAACCATTACATTTTTGACAGTGGATGATAGCTCTGTCTCTGCCAGTTGGTCAAGCTCTTCCCCAGACATGGCTTTCAGCTTCCCGTTGCAGAGACCAATATTCTGCCCTGGAAAGAAAAGCCCAAAATGAGATCTGCCCATTAGCTCTGGAAAAAGCCAACTATTCCCTGACTCAAAGAACAGAGGCATCAATTGAAGAATTTACTGGGAAATCTATCTGAACCTGGAACATATGACAGGGCACGTAGTTCTCTGGGCTCTAAGCTGGGCTGGTCACCCTGTCCTTACTCAGATGAAATCATGGAAGCAGTCAAATACCCAGAACTGGCACTGACACTAAATCTATCACTTTCTTCTCTGCTGCTTGCTCTGTGTATTTCTAAATGGCAAAATGCAAAAGTGCATTCTGCATTTGCATTGTGCAGAGATACTCACACTCCAGACATTAGTGGAGTGTAAAATCCCAGCAATATCATCTATCTCATTTAAGGGTCTTCTTACACTGAGATTTTTCCATTTCTGGTGCTAAAATAGTGGAATTAAGTTACTGGAATTTGCCCCATAGTTCATAGCTGCTCTCTTACTGCATTTCGTATGATTTGTTTGAATGGAAAAGCAAGAACTTAGTGGCATTTAAAACCTCAGTTGCACACACAAAGAATGAATCAGTTGGTTATTAAGGGATATAACATTTGGCTGATCTAACAGACGTATTGTAGACCCACGGGAAAGAAGCTAAATTCACTACCTATAGCCACAGCAGTTTCCAGGGCATCTCCAGTTATCATCTTTACTGACACACCAGACTCCAGAAGGACTTGAACAGCTTCTCTCACTCCAGCCCTTGGGGGATCAATTATTCCAACCAGACCTAAAAATGTTAGTTTGCCAAGTTCTGGACCTGAAGCCAAAGCAAGTACTAGAAATAGAAGGGAAAAAAAGAAGACAAGACTAAATTACTAATAATATGTTTCCATACATTAAAATGAATATTTAGAGGAGATTTTCCAGCAGAGAAAGTAATTAAAACCAGGTCTTTAGTCATTATATTCAGATCTTGCATAGACACAAAAATTTGGTCCATTCAATTAACAAAGTTCATCTGAATGGGACCGTTTCTGTTCCACATGTTTCTCTTAGGATTTATTTCTTTCTAATTTAAAGCTGTCCATCAAGTCCTCCTTAAATGCAGATGGATTAAAGTGGGGCAGTGCAATGTTAGACCAGACACTATTAAACTACTATGTTAAACAATGTCATTCCTGTAAAAACTTGAACTTCTTGTTTGTTTTGTTTTAATCTAAAAATACAAAATGTAAATTGAGTTAAACCAGTGAAACTGCCATCGTGCAAACGTCAAGGCTCTGAACATTTTGTTTCTGTTCTCAGTGCCTAACCGTATCATTCAGTCGTTCTTAAATCACTCAAGGATATTGTGCCAGGGGTTCATGTCAGTGTTGCTTTGATGATTGAATCATCAGCTCACAGCAGCTGCCTGTGCTAATCACTTTTCTTCAGAGTGGTAATTTGCCATTCACAGTGGTAGATGATTCAGATATTGCAAAGCAAGCTCTGTACATGATTTACTAACAGCAAGACATGGGGCTAGAGAATATGTACATTGAGTATACCATCTTCCAGACCGTCTGCCAAGACTTGTTCTCATCTATTACACACTCGGAACATGCACAGGAGACCGTGTCTATGTAATTGTGTGAAAGTCTAAGACATTCCTGAAAGGATGTTTCTAGCAATGAAGGAAATGACACACACATAAAAACTTCTGTGGGTTGCGCTGACATGTAGTCGAGATCAAAAGGAGGTCGTTAGTTTGTTCCTAATAAAGAATTGAACCAAACTTCAGATAAAACTCCCCATGCCCAAATCCATGTTTTGAATCTCTTTCAAAGTTGCTTCTTGTTGCTTTTGAAACAGCTTCTCCAAAGCAAAACTTGGCAGAGCAGCGCTTAGATTGGGTTAAGTGCTAAGATTTTCAATGCGCGATTCAGACTGTATCCCAGACAATCACAACACTCTGTGGAAGAAAACATTCACCATTTCCCGTGCTTACTTTCAGCTTCTTTCAATCTCACTAATTTAAACCCAGGAAAAAAAAAAGATTAGTGGGAAGCAAGCAGTCAGCAGACTCAAGACGTGGCTCTTGGCAAACTCTGATAGGTATGATGAAGAGATAATGCAAGCGATGCTAAGGGCTGGACCTCTGTCCATCCTGACCAAAACAGAGCAGAAAAGCATTAAGGCAGATAACCTGTAAGTGTAAGGGACATAGACAATAATGACTGACCCCGTAGACCCGAGGAGCCCATTCGTTTTTCTTCCTGCTGGTAGAAGGCTTTCTGCTGGGGTGTGAGTGATAACGAGATGCCGCCGCTGTTATACAGAGAGCAGTATCGAATCACTTCTTCAAATGCTCCTTTCATAAAGTAAGTATCATCCTGATCCTTTAAAGTAAAGCGATAGTATACTTTATCAAAAAAAAGAAAGAAAAGAGCACACTTTAAAAATACTGATAATGCATAAGGCTTTACATCCTTCTTGTTTGCTCTTTCACCTGTTTATAAAATGCCCAGGTGCATGTATTACCTATTAGATGTGGTATTTTTGCTCTAGCCATTTTTCATGTTCATCTGTCACCAACAAAATGGTAATAAAAAGGTTGGTGAGTTTTTAAACCCAAGTACAGTATCAGTCAAAATAAGATCCTTAACCCCATCAGGCAAAACCAGCCAACATTTACTTTCGAACATCGTATATTTCTTCCCCTCTCTGAAAAGCTTTTGTTTTCCTGCTCAAACCACTATATGAAAAGTGTTATCTTATCCCATTCAAAAACAGCTTTACAAGCTAAAATTACACCCCAGTTGGGAATTTTGAGATTTGTTCAGTTTTCTCCTGGCACAGTTAGGTTCTGAATACATTATTTGCTAAAGAGATACCATTTCATGCCCATTGTAGAGGCACAATTAGAAACATGAAACTAGCCAACACCACTGTTTGCTTTACCTGATTTTTCAGTGTGCATTTCACAGCCATCCACTTCTGCTCAGAGCTAAACGGAATTTCCTTATTTCTTACATAAATATCTTTTATGTCAGCTAATTCCATCTAAAGTAAGGTAAAACAAAAAGAGCACTGTAATGCTGAACAATGCCAAACCTTATATACATTTTCCATATTACAAGCATTGACTGTTGATCATGTACTTCCAGCGGTCATATACCACAGAGCTCAAGAGGAAGTATGGGGAGAGTAAAACTCGTATTTCAAATCCATCTTTTCCTTTTGGTGCCTGATATGGGATAAGTTAAACTGGAGATTGAAGCTTGATCCCTGTTGACTTTTGCAAGTACTGGTGAGCTGCGGTGCTGCCTTGGTGGGGCTTTGGGTCAAAGGAGGCTCAAGTCCTTTCCCTAAACCTATGTCAAAGCAATGGGCAGAGCAGATTTCTTCCAGCCCAAGCTCATTCTCCCTCACCTCAGTTATTTCCAAGCCACCTAACTTGAAAAATTAAAGGGAAATGTGCAAATAACTGAATGGTCAATCATGAATGTAGTTTCAAATTATTTCCTGATGGATTAAACTCAAAAAGCAATTCACTACAAGAAGATCCTTCAGCTCTGAAATACAACAGTGCAAATCAATACACTCCTCCTTTAGCAGCATGCATGGGTGCTCTAGGTGAAGAAGTAGTGATTAGAAATAGCTTTTCTCTCTCCCAGCTCCCACCAAACTCAAAAAAAATAAAGAAGAAAAAGAGACAATGTCCCTTGTATTCTGCTATTGCTTGGCTACTGAATGGTGGTGCAAAAGGAAAATTTTACTTTAGCATATAAAATAATAATGAAATAAAATTTCATTGTTTAAAAAAAAAAATAATGTTTTCATTGTTCATTACAAGCTTTAAAAACAGGAAGTAAGAGCAGATGTTTGCAGGTGCATCATTTCATCAGGGACCTTCTGTGCTTTACAGCCCACCTGAGGTCTATGGACCACAGGCTGTAAGACACTGATTAGATGATACCTTCAGGCATTTTACAGCCCTCTGCCTATGAGCATCAATGCAATATTCATAAAACCCCTTGTTTTACATGATCATCACTATAAAAAGTAAAAGATGACCCAAATCTAGGATGACCCTCTGCCATTATTTCTGGTACAGCCAGTTCTTGGTCATTTTTCACTCTCTTGTCTCCCTCCTGAGCTCTTAATTGGCAAGTGCAGAAAATACAGAAAATGCAGTCCAATCTGAGCCTGAAAGAAATCCATCATGCAGCGTAATTGCAGAGATTAACCAAGCAAAGAAATTATTGCTGTTGGCACAGAAGGCTGGGGAAGGTGAGAAGAAGTTTACACAGGAGAGGTCTATGACCCTGGGGAGAAGAGACAAGGGAAGACTCAAACCAGTCTGGGGACTTTGCAGAAGTCTGTCAGACCTCACAATTCCAGCTCCTTTCAACCTTACCTTCATTGCAAGGGCAATGAGAGCTCCTTCTGTGGGCTGTCCCATCACGCTGTTTTTCCTGATAATGGCATTATTGACTACACAGCCAGCCTACAGAAAGGGACATATTTACATGTTTTATTTTTTTCATAACCAAATTCATAGCTTTTTCATGTTTTTAAAATGAAATAATGAAAGATTGGAGAATGAAAGCAGCCACATCCCCAAAGATGTGCTGTTCCTCACAGCAGCATCTCTTGACATCAGTCCTTGTGCTTTCCAAATCCACTTAATCCTTATGATACACCAATATTTGGTAAAATGTTATGTTTTGGATAGAATAATATCAATCAAAACATGATATATGTCTGATGAGCTCCCTAAATTGTGAAAATGAAAACTTATTCTTTCCCACTATTGCTTTTGATGTGCAGAATGGATAAAATAAACCTAATCTCCATTTAAGATTCCAGCTCACATCATTTCAATACCCAAACACTCCACTTGAGCCTGCAGTTGAATGTGCAAGATTGTATTTAATGCTGACACAAAACCCAGAGACCATCACAGTGCATTTATAAATTAACTATGCAGCTAGCTAAAGTCTAGAATCTGCCCACATTAAAAACCTGAACGTGGCAAAATGAACTGGCGTCTCCTTTGCCAGAACTGTCTTTTTATCCCAAATGTCATCGACATTTTAAGCTGATGACTCCAGTTTCTCCCTGCATGTGTTATGATTGCTACTGATCATCCATAAGCTTCAGGTATGATACCATAGTTACTCAAAGCCTTTCCATAAGCATGCTCCAGCAACACCATTTTTCAGTTACAAATGTGGGTTTTTTTTCCCCTCACTCATTAACCAAAGCGATCTCTTGCAAATGAAAGTTGAATGTAAATAGGACAACCTGGTTCATAATTTATACTTACCTCCACCAGTTTCCCAACTGAGACGTTGGAAAATTCTTTAAGAATCTCCTTTGATGGCAGAAGATAAACGTTTCCTTCTCCATTGTATCCCACCCCACTGACCTGAAGAAGGGATACACAGAATGAGCAAATTTCCTAGTATCAGGCAGGACTATACTACATCTGTATACAATAGTCTGTATATGGATTGTATACAAAACATGTATACAAACAAATACTTGAGCAGATTTGTGATTTTGAAGGATTCTTGCTGGATTCTTCTTTCTAGCCCAAAGCAATGCTTAGAGGAAAGGCTGCAGACAGTTAAAGTATGATACTACAATAGCTGTATAGGAACAGAAAAAATCAGCTTATCTTATACAGAACTTGTTTGCCATGATTTCCGAAGTCTCTTGCAGCTCAGCTGAAGACATCCAGCCCTTTGGTAGCAGTGGGTTCACCAGTTTTGTTCAAGCCCAACCCTGCTGATGACTGCCCTGTGTCTCCACTGCCTTACATTCTGTTTGCCTCAATATTCACCCACTTTGCATGTAGGTAAACAGACCAAGCAGAAGGATCAAACCACTTGTATAATAAATATACCTACAGAAGATGGACCCACAAAGGTCAGTGGCAGGTTTCAATATTTACAATAATTGCAGAGAGCAGCAGATTATGTCAATGAACATGTTTGTTTATGGTATCTGAGTAGCATTTGTACACTCAGCCCCACCTCTGCCTGTCTCCAGCACTGCAAAATGAGAATGGAACTGGTGACGTGCAAAAACCTGCTTGTTTTGGGGCTGATCAGCATCCCGCATTTGAGCCTAGCTGAACTAAAAGCAAACCAGGAAAGTCTGTGTTACCGTCTCATCCATACCTCTGCCTGGAATCCATCCGAAGTCACAAGCCGAGTCACCGTCATCTCATTGGCAGTCAGAGTGCCCGTCTTATCTGAGCAGATGACATTGCAGCAACCTGATGCAGGAGAGTTTTTAATCAGAACTAATAAATAATGCAACTGAACAATGAGATTCAGCAGAGGGAGAGTGTTTCCCTAGTTACTTAAACTGCACCAGTGGGAAAAAGGAGAAAATACCAAGAAATAAATGAGTTTCTTAACAGGGAGTTTTAAGGGAAGGATCTGAGTGCATGTCAGGGTATTGTGCAGGTAACTGGGATGTGAGATGTAGTAGGAGACACCTGAAGAGGGCCACATTGTCTTAAGGAGGGCAATCAGAGAAGGCACTGATCTCCAGAGAGTTATAAATGTTTTCAAGCTGTTATCAGTTATGTGACTCCTCAGATGGGTCATTTAACCCTTACTTTCCTAACTCAGGAATAACAGCCCTTCCCTGCCTCACCAAGGAACTGCGAGGGTAGATGTGTTAAAGACCTAAAGACACCAGGTTGGACGGAGTCTTGGGTGAGATGGTCTAGTGTGTGGTGTCCCTGCCCATGGCAGGGGGGTTTGAACTAGATGGGCCTTTCGAACCCTAACTATTCTGAGATTCTATGTGTTTAAAATACTTAAGAGTCTACAGCTAAGATCAGGAGCTGCCCCACTCACGCTCTGCTTTGTGACAATCCTGCTTCAGTAAAGCACATTTCTTCCAGGGCCCATTTACACCACAATACAGCAGAGGAGTGAATCAGCAGTCACCACATTCAGGCTTGTTTACACTCCCAAGAAGGTAAAAAATTACTTTAATGCAAAAAAAGAATCAGACTCCAGATCCCTTCTAAGCCTGAATTGCTGCTCTGGAGATGACCACAGTGCTTAGGCACAGACCCCATGTGTGTAATGGCCACCAGCTAAAAACCTGGAGGTAGTAAAGCAGATTGGGCTGCAATTAAATTAATTGCAGTTTAAAGGATTGTCTCAGAGCAAGGCTGTCACCTCCAGTATTTCATTTTCAGTTATTGACAACGAAAGAGTCAGATCAAGAAGATTATTTTTCTCCTTTTCAGAGGTGTAACAGGGAGAGCACAGTTTTTGCTGTGCGTAGCCTGTCTTGCAGAACACCAGGCATCTGGCAGTTACACCTACTTGGGCCCAGCCCTACCAGAACAAAATTCTTCATGAGATAAGAAGCGTTTCAGATGTCTTGGGTGAGGGCAGATACAATAAAGCAAGGGTGATAAGATTCCTTAACCACAGAACAAACAAGGGCAGTTCAAACAATAGCAGCATTTCCAAGGAAGATTAGCTGAAGGATCCGGCTGTGCAGCAGGTATTTGCGACTGCATGGGACAGGCTTGGCATTTAGTGTACTTTTCAATGAGTGGTACTAAACACACAATGTGTCTTCTCCTTCATATAACTGCCATACAGACCAAGGTCAGAGCAACAAAGCCTGGAAAACAGCGGCCTGGGAATAAGGAACAATTTGAAGACAAAGGGAGGTAGAAGAATACTCTTGTTATAGTTCGTTCTGCCCTGCAATTGTGAAGATGGGCTGAACATCTTCTCAAGGTCCTCTCTTTCCTGTGTGTTCAAGGTCCCTGTTTCCCGTGACTCTTTGGAGATCAGGGAGATAGATAGCCACAGAGGCTGCAGATGGATAAATGGTTTTATTTATGCCACCAGGCTTGACTTGGGGGCCTGCAAGGTTTTTCAGTCAACACTGACGTAGTGGACAGGATGGATCTGCAGGATGATCCCACAGAATGGGGAGGAAGGAGAAACAAAGCTTTTCAACTCAAGCAGGGCACGCATGTCCGCAGAGGGGCTCTGCTCCCTGTGGGACAATGCCATTGGTTGGGGTGCACCATTCCTAGCACCTGCCTGTGCGAATATCACTGAAATAAAGGAAAAGGATGTGAAAGAGAGATCAGAAAGTGTATTTAAGTCTGAGCGGGTTGCTCTGGCTCCGTAAGCACCCTCTGTTCTCTATATTCAGAGCAAGGCTCACTTGACCAGCTCATTTCTATCCAGCTCAGATTTTGAAGCCTGGCAGATGACCAAGCTGCATCTTACAGCCTTACCTAAGGTTTCTACTATGGGCAGCTTCTTCACAATCACCCTTTTCTTGGCCATACGGAGAACGCCGAGCACCAGTGTGACAGTGACCACTATGGGGAGGCCCTCTGGGATGGCAGCCACCGCCAGGCTGGGGACAGCAGAGACACCACAGCTTCAACACAGGGGTCAAACGACAAGTACCAACCAAAATGTGCCAAAGGGACATTCCATGGGGTGAGTTGTCCTGCCTGTGTCCGTGTGTCTGAACGGGAGCATGCAGTGCTAATGACTGGGACTCCAGGCACACCAAGCACAAAGCATTTATCCAACCCTTCAACATTTTTCTGGATAATTTTGACAAAGCAATCGCTTTTCTTCTTTACATTGACAAAGAGCATTAATTTCTGGTTAAGAAGGGATTTAGTGGATGGATTTAATTTCATTTATTTAATTTTCTGAGAATGGAAGTTGAATGTTCGTTGGCATCACAGCTCATACATTAGTGATTGGCTTCTGGCCACACACAGCCCCTCATCTCCCCTCTTACATGTGGCTACAGATAAGGCAGGACAGAATCACACTGCATACACTGAATCAGAGCAACATCAAAACCTGAAACACCCGACATGCTAGAAAAATCCAAACAGTCTGTATCTGTCCCTTAGTTATTTCCTGGGTAACTCCCAACACTTTTAGGTATGTGCAAAAAGTAATCAAGGAAGACTTTCAGAACCATAGGCTGCTCTCCAAAACTCAGGCTTAACCACTTTACCACCATATCCCACAAGGACACAGGAAGGAGAACACTGAGCCTGTTTGGCTTCTCTGTCATGTCTTCATCTGTGGGTTTGGTTTTATTTCCACAGAATGCTTTAAAGGAATGATTTTAGAACCATAACAACACCAAGCAACAGATTTTATGGGTACTACCAAAAATATGTGATTTATTATGTTTGATTAAGAAGTTGTGCTTTTTATGCTGCATAAAATGTGCATTCCTATCTTTACACATAAATCCAGTAAGAGCAGCAATGTTTGCTGTTGCTACACTCCCACTAAATTCATAGCACAGATAGGAAGGGACATTCACAGCGAGATGAGGTGGAAATGCCAGTGAAGATTTTCAGAATTAAATAAACACTTAAACTTGTTCTTTTTTTTTCCTCCCAAACTCTGTTGTAAAACTCACATTAATTTCACCAGTGCAAGACCAATATATATATTTATGAAGGGTCTTACTCATGTTCTCTTTTGTGAAATGTCCATTGTTTTGAACAGGGACACGTTTCATTAGAAATCAAAGAGAAAGGTGCTCTCCAGTCCTCACCTAACTCCAATTGTGAACATGCCAAGGAGATGCTTCCCTTGCAGCCAGCCAATGAGCATTATTAAACCTGGTGGGGGAAAACCAGACGATTAAAATACTTCAATAAATTCATAAATCTCTAACCTGTTTTAGCTGTTGTTGGAGAAATGAACATGCAATGAGTTCCCCCAATCTCTCCTTCAAGAGGTGCCTCTGCTTGAACACCAAAAGTCGAAGTAACCCACATCAACAAGTACTTTTGGAAGAATGGCTCTGGAGCACAGAGATCTTTTACAGCAGACCATGTAAGTGTGAGCATTGCATCTAACTCACCGATTATGCCGAACGAGAAGAGAGTCAGTTGCTTCCCCAGTCTGTCCATGCTCTTCTGGAGAGGCGTTTTGGGAGTCTGAAAACAACAGAGAATAGCTGGTTTTCTTTGCTTGTGATGCGAGGTGAGATGATGGTCAGCTCAGAACAACTGACCCACACAGTGCTGGTTATTACCATGGTCCCTACAGCTGCCTGATACACCCTGGTGCTTACCCATCCCAAACCCTCAACAGAGTCTGCTGGGCATTGACCATACCACAGGGAGAGATTCTCTGCCTCAATGCACTCAAGACAGGCAAAAAAAGTGGGGGAAGAGATGAATTGTATTTACAGCTGGGGAACCAAGGCAGAGACAAACTAAGGGCTAAATCCAGAAAGGACCTTAGTGATCAAGTCCAGGACTGGGTAATGTGTGTGCAAAGCTCCTGGGACAGGGATAAAAAGCCTGGACCCCATCCCCATGGTCTGTGCTCTCCTCTCCAAGCCAGGGTTGCAATCTGTCCATGACCTGGCAGATGTGAGCAAACACTTCTCCTCCACAGAGCCAGCTCAGAGAACCCCCACGCTGACACACAGGAGGGACCCTGTGAGGTGGTAGGTTTGGGAGATCTGAGGTTCAGACCAAGGAGGGTACCAGGCCCATGTTCTTATTTTGCAGCAACACTTCTAAGCACTGCAGAGCACTACAGATCTAAATCAGCACTGCAGATGCCCATCGTGGCTGCTTCTACTTTCCTGTGATTTCTTGCATTAATGGATCAAGAGTTTACCAGTTTCTAGACCCTCATCTGTGTTAGTTCAGAGATCTGACCCATGAAAGTTTGACTCTGTAACAGTAAATAATTTGTATACCTAATGGAAAGTATGTGTGTGTGAAATAAATAAAAAAAAGAAACCATGAGGTTTTGGTGACTACAAGGTTAGATTCAAGCTAAACATCGCAAGTCTGGATTTAGAACCCTAAATCCTGCTTGTAACCTTCCTTTTGGATACAGCACTTTGCCTCAGTCACACAGCATTTTGTAGCAGAAACAGACATGAAGTCAGTGTATTATCACTTGGGACCACTGTTGCTCACAAACTTTCATCCAGGACATCCACCATTTCCACACACAGGCTTCTTTACCTCTTCAGCTTGCATCATTTTGAACACCTCTCCAAACTGTGAGTTTTCACCAGTCCCAATAACTACACCCTGATAAAAAAAAAGATAAAAAAAAGAGAGGTGGAGATGACGAATCTAGAGATTCTGTAACTAACATTGAGGAAGGGATCAAAGACGACAGGACTCACTTTTCCCTTCCCGTATCGCACCAGGGTCCCCATGAAGACAACATTGCTCAGCGTGGTTATGTCTCCAGCTTCCAGTAGTACACTGTCAGTCTTGTTACAAGGCTCAGCTTCTCCAGTAAAACTGGATTCATCTACCAGCAGATCTGTAACCTAAAAAGACACGTTTCTGGCGCTGTTAAGACAAGAAATTGCCAAAGCAGGCTCTGTTATGCATAGCTGTATTTACCTCTATCAGCCTGAGGTCTGCAGGAACCCTGTCACCAACAGACAGATAAATGATATCTCCAGGCACAAGCTCTCGTGCTAGAAGGTGCTGCAGTTTTCCTTCCCTTAGGCTACATGAGACAAATGGAAAAAGAAGAATGGAAACCAGGCTGTGAGGGTTTTATTCCTTCTCAGGCTTGGGAATGCAACTGGCAAGAAAGCAAGAACCCTGCCCCAAAGAGCTTCCAGTGTAAAAAGAACATAAAACCTTCATAAAGATCAGAGCTGATTATGTTCAGTTTGGGCTCACAAATAACAGATGGCCCATTGTAACAGATGGGCAGGTTATGGAAGACTTGCATTTCAGCATTAGGTGACTTCAACAGGTCTTGTACAGCAGATAAGAGTGACAAGAAGGTGTGCTTTCCTATGGATCATGCTTTAAATAATGAAATGAAGATTCTTTAACCTAAAAAGAAGCCTTTTAAAGCTAGAACTACCTCTGGCATTTCACTATTGTATTGAAATACAGACTTTAAAGTGGTTAGACACTTGTGGTGTCATATCATAAAGAAAGAAGGAACATACAGTGGTGTTTATAAAATCCAAACCTGGGCGAACTTTGGACCAGAAGAGAACCTCACACTTCTTTTGCAGTGCAAAGTTTCTCTGAGCCTTACAGCTTATTTATGTTGGCCATGACATGTCTTATGCCAAGCCACAGACAGGAAAAGTGTTTCCTGTAACCTACAGCACTGATACCAAACACCAAATCAGTCTGGGAAGTGGTGTCTGATAGACCCTACAGCTGCTCCCCAGGCCAGGGGAGGCAGTGACACACAGGAGGCTGCAGAGATCCTTGTGGGACACGTTGCTGGGACCCTCCTGTCTTCCAGCATTTATTCAGCTCCTCTGGGTGCCTACTTTAACAACCAGAGTTATTACATCCCCTTCTGCTGTGACTCAGAGCTGCACCCACACGGTGCCACCTCCAGAGAACAGGTTCTCGTTATGTGCATGACAGCCTGGAGTAGTTGTGTTCTCCGGTCAGTTCTGCCTCATAACCCAAACCCTGTGAACCCCCGCTGAACTCACCAGTTGCACTCAGGGGGCACAAGTTTGTTAAGTTCTTCCAGAGATTTTTCTGAGCGATATTCCTTTTAAATGAGAAAGAAGAAAGACAAGTTACACAAGAGGGCTCACTCATGACAGCCCTGGCCATGGAGCTGAGCTCTGGCTAACATACCTGGATGAAGGCCACAGTGACCACGATGAGCACCGCCTGTGAACAAAGAGGCATCATAGGATGGGCACACCAGCTCCAGAGAGCCGAGAGTTGGGGTGCAGGAGAGGTACCACTTACCATGGTGATGCTCGCAGCATCCTCGTATTCTTTTGTGATGACACTTACTAAAGCGGAAGCCAGCAACAAGAGAATGAGGGGATTTTTAAACTGGAAAAAGGGGGAAAATGTAATATAAAATTAAATATGGAGTTGTTGAAGCTGAGCTCAGATCTCATCAGGAAGGATCAAACATGTGGTTTGGCTGCATGGACCCTCCTTGCTTGTGACAGCAGCATCTGCCTGGACAGAGAGGGTGCAGCACCGGTACTCAGGCTGATGCTCAATCCTGCCCCTTTATAGGGGATGGATGGCATCAGGGACCAGCAGGACAAAGCTTACACCAAAAGACACAAGTTTCCTCTCTTTTCCCTTACTTACACAGGCTAGGCTCACCTTTGCAGACATACAGTACAGGGCTGACTCTAAGAGTTCCTTGGAGGCATGAAAGGGACAAACAAAATCTTTATTGTTGCCTTAGAATTTGAAACCAAAAATCCTCTTTCTTTTATTTCTCTCGTTCCCCTCCCCCTGAATTAATCCTCTAAACTCTTGTCCCAGGACTGTGGAGTCAGATCCTCATTGCTTTCACTTTGAAACACAGATTTTAAGGACCTTTCTCCTACACAAGAAAGTTACAGCTTCATTTAGCTAATGTGGGAATTGACATAAGGGAATTAAGTCAGGCCAAGGCAAGATTGCCTGTTTTGGGTAACAGATGTGTGGTGATGCATGGTAGGAAAGCCAAGATTTAAATGTATTCCTTGCTGAAGACAAAGGTGAAAGTCCTCTCATTTCTCTTTAGAAATACTGGGCAAAAGGGGATGTTTTACAGAAATAGCAGCTGAAAGAAGCCCTGTCAAATGTGTTGTTGAGGAATGATGCTCAAAGGCAGAGGTGTGAATGGTGTGGGACTGCAAACAGCTCTTCCAGAGAGACCGACAGGCTGCAAAAGGATCAGAGATGCACTAGAGAGCTTGTTTTGTGCCCCCATAGGAGAAATAGCTTGTTAAGGATGAGCACACCCTCCCACCATCTCACTTTTTGTGCTCAAAGAGGCTTAGCAATGATTGAAAAGTGCTTGAAGAATATTGATCACATAGAAAAAAAGAGATAACCCATGAAATAAAAATAAAGCCTTTCAAAACAACTAAAATCTTCATGTTCCAGCTAAGCAAGAAGAAAATCAGTCAAGGTGAGGGTTGAAAACAAGCAAACAGAAAAAAGATCCTTCTGTTTCAGCTAAAAGTTCTAAAAGAAATGTGAAAGACATTAAATACTGGTAAGAAACAGTTAACAAAAGCAAAACTCAGGGATAACTCAACTGGGGAAAAACTAGACAGCAAATACCACCTTGTGCTTGGCATTTTGGGGCAGCTGGTTTGAAACTGCGGTTCTTCACAGTGCATGGCACCATGTATGAATGTATCTGTTACTGATGCATTGCTCCTAGAGACACTAGTGCTCACCTGAGCTCTATACCTGCCCCTGCTTTTGCTGGGAGTTTAGGGCTTTCCTTCACTGGCGTAACAGAAATCAGAGTGGCTTTCAGCTACTACTGGTTTTCCTCAAACCTTTCATAGAGTCATAGAATGGTTTGAGTTGGAAAGGACCTTAAGATCATCCAGTTCCAACTCCCCTGCCATGGTCAGGGACCCCTCACCCTAGACCATGTCAACCAAGCCTTCAAGATTTTGTCGTGTATGTTAAAGGGAATGAGAATGCTCCAGAAATCAGGTCACTGCTCTACGGCTTTTGATTTGTGGGCTGTGTGGAGATGAAAAGGTTTCTTCTTATTTTGAGATGTTATCTTCGCATTAAATGACCCTGCATCTGAGTCTCACAATGGCTTTCCTTGGGGCAACAGACAGTGTCTGTACCAGGGGCACAGCCTGTTCCAAGGCTGAGTCTGTGGAAGCAGGAACCCTGAATACTTCAATGTAGAGACACGCTCAGGCTAATCCAGACAGGGGTCTTGGCCAGGAAATGAGAATCTGTGCAGAAAATCCTTACCTGATCCAGATATTTCTTCCATACTGGCTCTGTATTCTCTACTGAAAATTCATTCCAGCCATGCTTTAACCTGCGCTGCAGCACAGAACACTCAGAGAGTCCAGTTTGTAAGTCAACCTAGAGGGAAATTAAAACAAAACAATCAAATATTACATATTGTAGAATAGTGATAGGAAGCTTCTTAAAGCAAAGTTGTTAAAAGCCTGTAAGCAGATGGGCATAGTGTCCATGGTTCAGTCACCCCCAAAAATAAACCTGCTTTTCTGTTTAGGTATATATTTTGTTAAACTATAAAACTTTACCATCATCCATCACAAAAAAACACCCATAAAGTAAGCACAAGTTAATAATTCAAGAAAAAAAAATAATTCCATAAATGACAATCCATATAACAGATGAGAAAAATCTAAAATAACAAAGCATTGATTTCTGGTTTCATGTATATTTAAATGAACACACATTTCATGTACATTCATTTTCTGTGCATTTAAAGCAAAAATAAAAATTAAAGTAAAAATAAAATATAAAAATACCCTGACAAAATTCAAAGAGAACAAAGGGAGAAGGAATAAGATCTATTTTGCCTGGATTTTAAAAAACAGCAAGGTCAGACACCAAAATACCACTAATTATTATAGCTTTCCCTAGCAATTCAAGCTGCAAGAAAGCCTTTGGGAGGTCATCTAGGACAATAACTGTGATGACTCTGTAACTGTAATAACTCTGAAATGAAACCTCTTATGAAATAAAGGGGAAAAGGGCTTCATTTACACAACTCTTCTGGGACCTGCCGATAACTGGAGTGTCTGAGCTGTGCAGCCTGTGCCCAGGGATCCTCTGCCAGTGTTTGTTTTCTAGGCTGGACAACTGAACTGTTTCCCCTGCAGCTCGCAGAGGCACTCACTGCAATGGAATCCTTCCCCAGGACAAAGCAAAGCACAAAGGCCCAGTGCTGAGCCTTGAGCACAGCCAATGTGAGGATTCATCCCAGGTAAAGGCAGAGGAACTGGGCGCTCCAGGAGTTTGTGTGTGAAACCAAAGACCAACCCTGTGCTCAGTCGGATCACAAAGACAGCATTGCTATATTCACAAAGAACCAGTAAACCCCCTTACATTTAAAGCTTTAGCCAAGTCTTCTTTATGGCACTTGCACGCATCTTTTGGGGGCAGAACTGCCACCTCTTTCTCCTGCTCAATTATTTTCAGCTCACACTCCTCATGGGTCTGAATAAACAAGATAAAGCAATCGTTAGGTGAGAGCACAGTCAATGAAAACACTTCAGCATCTCTTTGTTTTTTCCCTTAGTCCCATTCCCTTCCCTCACCTTGCCAGCTGTGTGATTTCACAGTTAGCTAAAACACTTCCTAAACCACAGCACTTTATACCATTCACTAATTAATCCTTATTACAGCCTCAAAGCCAGGTGCACATTCTTGTAGAGGAAGAAAGGCTGTAAGGAGCTGGATTAATAAAAAGAGAAACACACACCACTGCCTTAGTCAGAAAAGTGTCCTGGTGGGTTATATCCTGCTTAAGATGAGCATTTTTCCATACCAGTGTCTCACGCCTCAATGCTTAGAGCAAGAAAAGAACCTTTTTGCTTGTTGAAGACATAATAAAAGAACAGAAAATGTGAGTTGGAAAAATCTCTGAGACAGTGAGAGAAAGCAAAACTCTCCTCTCCCATCCTCACGGCTGTTTTCCTCTGCTGCCGGTCCTGCAAACTCCTCCAAACAGGATAAATCCCTTTCTGCCCCATGCAGGCAGCCTGAGGTCTGTGCCTAGCTCCCCGCACCTGGAGGCTCAGCACCCAGACCTCTCTTCCCTTTTGAGATCCTTTGTCTGCTTTTCTTGCTCCTTTTCCAGAGCAACAGCATCCCCCGAAATCTCAGCCAGGCACTTGAATGGAGGTGGCATGACCACTATTGTGGAGTAAGAAGGAGCAATCTCACCCTTCCCAAGGGACAAGAAAGTCCATTCCCATTTACCATTCATAAAGCACAAGAGAGCGCGTTCATTAAGAGAGGGATCCCAAAATAACTTGGTGCTCAGCCCCTGGCAGAGCTCAGCTCTGCTGCACAGGAGGAATTTGGCACCTGCTACCAGCACCCTGGGGTGTTTGCTAAAGAAAACATCCAGTTCTGGCTCATCAGCACCTGAGCAAGGGCTTGGAGGACTTCAGAGGTGCCTTAAGTGGTATTTGGAGAACTAGTCCTTCTCTGAATACTCAGGAAGTTTCTAGGAGCATTCAGCGTTTTGCAGTCTAAAATGGGAGATAAATGAAGAAAACCTCTTTGGCTGCTTGCTTATGCTGGTACACAGAACTGCTTGTTGTCTGGTGGCTTCTGAAGAGCTTGTAGTATTAAGAGATACGAGTATCTCTAAGCTCCTTAAATGGGCTTTTGCCACTTCCACATGTTGCAGCCCCCTTTTCATCACTGTTTACTGACCCACAGCACAGACGCTAACACACTGGACACCAGCACCAACCCACTCCAGCAGAAAGGCAGGAGAGTTTTGTGTGGTCCTTGGTCTGTGCAGTGCTGACTGAGGAGCCATTGTGCCTCGGGAACAACCTGCCCTTCCACAATCCCAGCCATTTGTCCAAGATTTCCAAGGACTTTTCTGCTTCTGTGTTTCCCTCACACGAGTGACCACATTTTGCCCACAGAAGCTGCAGTATTTCTCCACTGTTTTGAAGCACGCTAGCTCCAGACATCACCCTTATTTGAACATTTCCTTAACAGACATCCCTAGAAGGGATGAAAAACAGTCCCTCCATGCTTAAAACTGGTGATTTACTCCTACTTTTATGTCCTACTTGTGCAAATTCATCAGTTCCCTGTAATTCCGTTGACACCCAGATGCTGTATCCATGCACCTAAGGACTTGATAGAAAGAAATTCATGGCTGTCACGTACAGACACACACCTTGCACTCATTACTGTGCTGATTTGATTAACACAGCTTTTACAGGCTCCTCTGTGCTGCTGGTGATACATGCAGGTGTCAAGGTACAGCCTTGCTCAAAGGAGTTTAAATTGTAATTAAAGGAGCTGGAGAACAGCAGGAGACCCAGGCGTTCAGAGCAACATGCTTAGAGTGCCACAGAGACAGTGGGGGAGGCCAGGGCCCAGCTCTATCACTTGTATTTGCCTTCCCAAATGCGTGGAGGAAATGAGTGACAAAAGCATGTGGATGTGCTGTGCCATAAGCAGCCAGTGCTGGCTGTGGATCGAGAGGAATGTTGACAGCTCTGTGCTCCTTACAGCCGGGGGCTGCTGTGAAATAAACAGCTTTATTGGGACTCATTAATTTGCACTGATTAGCTTACGCCTGTGCCTTCCCCCTGATAAACCCATTCAGATGAACAGCTTTAGTAATGCACAAGCTGGAAGTGCATCAGGGGAGCCCCATCTCCCTCCTCCTCTTCAAAGTGCTGCTGGTACAGAGCCCTTTTGCTCTTAAACACATCCCGTGGCATCCCATGTCTGTTAGGAACCAGGCAGTGTCCTGAGCAAACCTCTTCATAACCTACCCTCTCCTTGTGCAATACCTTCTATTTACACTATAAAACAGATGTGGATTGTCAACATTATCAATTTACATTTTTAACCTTTATGCTTTAGGCATAACTCAAGCACAAGAGTGCACAACTCCACACAGCAGGGCAGGAAGGAGTAAAATAAACTGAATTGTTAGTTTACCTATTGCTTTGCAAGAGCAGGTGATACTGGAGGATGTCAAGAGCAGCTGCTTATGGTTGGGAGCAGGCTCTGTACTGCTGGTACCTGCGCTGCTGCCTTTGCATCCCTCATCCCAAAACAATGCACCAATTGTCCCACCAAGCAGCCCATGCGGGAAGGAAGAAAGTGTGGGGCTTTCTGCAGAATACATAGCCCTTTTTGTATACCCTGGCAAGCAGCCCAGCAGATCAGTGTTTGGGATTTACCCCCACCTCTGCCTTTATTGAGGTCTTGCAGATTCTTTTCCCCCTATCTTAGGTTACTTTGGAGCAGCTGATGTATTGCAATGTGGTATAAAGCAGGCTGGGTTATTTAGCCCAACAAGGAGCCCTTCAAAACATTAAATAGAACCCCTCCTCTTGTATATTCTTCATCCTTGCTCAAAAATCCCCTTAAATATAATAAATCAAACAATTCCCTCAAAAGCCCTTTGCCTTGCTCCATTTGGTGCACAGGACAGGCAATAGACTGTATTTGGGGTTCAGGCAGCATGCAGAAAGAAACCTAGAGCAAACCACAGCCCTGCAAGCGAGGGGCTGTTTTCACTGGGCTTCCTCATCTGTGCTCCCAGCCGTTTCCCACCCACCACCATGGTTTCAGCTCCTTTTGGTCCATTTCTGCATCCCCATCACACATCTATAGCAGCATTGCAGCATTTTAGCTCGAAATATAGTCTCTGGTGTCCCTGCTTGCAGATAAAAGCCTCAAAATAGACCTTTTAATTGTTAAAAACCCAAAGGTTTTCCAGAAAAGCTGCTTTTAAACTATTTCCTGTGTTTTAGGTCACCCCAAGGGTACTGGAGGGCTGACTCAGGCTGTGTGGGATGTGTGGGCTCAAGGCCCAAGCTGCACATCCCACTCCCTTTGCCCCCGCTGCTCTATTCCTCCTGCTCAAACATGACCTTTTTCTTCCCAATCCTAATTAAAAGAAAAACATAATCTTCCATCTCCCTTTAACCTAAAGCAAAGGCCCTTGAGCTGATGGCATTGACATTGCTGCAGGGAAGTCCTATCACTGCAGCTCCATAGCCAACAGTGATTCCAGCTGAGGACCCTCCTCACCCTCCCACATCAGTCCCACCCAGGCCGAAAGCAAACCCCAGTTTAAGTCAACTTCATATGTAAGATCTTCTGGGACAGAGCTGCTACTGCACTCAGCCCAAAACCTGTGGAAGCTGGAGGAAAGGAAAGGAAAGGAAAGGAAAGGAAAGGAAAGGAAAGGAAAGGAAAGGAAAGGAAAGGAAAGGAAAGGAAAGGAAAAGGGAAGGGAAGAGGAAAGGAAAGGAAAAGGGAAGGGAAGAGGAAAGGAAAGGAAAAGGGAAGGGAAGAGGAAAGGAAAGGAAAAGGGAAGGGAAGAGGAAAGGAAAGGAAAAGGGAAGGGAAGAGGAAAGGAAAGGAAAAGGGAAGGGAAGAGGAAAGGAAAGGAAAAGGGAAGGGAAGAGGAAAGGAAAGGAAAAGGGAAGGGAAGAGGAAAGGAAAGGAAGAAGGGAAGGGAAGGGAAGGGAGAAGGGAAGGGAAAGGAAGGGGAAAAGGAAGGGGAAAGGGAGGGGGAAAGGGAAGGGAAGGGAAGGGAAGGGAAGGGAAGGAGAAAGGAGTTAACTCTTTTCCTGTTGGAAGCTTTTCATATATGAGAAATCAGGCTTGAAAACATGTGTGAGCAAGTGAAGTCTGTCACTGCTGCAGAGAGGCAATCCCACAGCCTTTCTTTTCTCACCTGGAAGGCAAGTTGCACTATTTAGTCTGTTTTAAGGCCACATTTAAAAAAAAAAAGGTATCTGCAGGATAATAAAACTATTCTGATAAGGATGCTCTGCATATTGAGGAGGATATGGAGCCTGTGAAAGTCTCCAGGAGATAAATGACCGTTGGTATGAAACCTGAAATGGACAAAAAGCCTCAACTGGAATAGCAATTTAGCCCTAAATGTAGGACAGGGCTGTGAAACACCTGAACTCCACCTTGTGGCTGCTGAATCTTGAATGTGTTATGGGTTAAAGGATCTAAATGGGTTTTGGTGAGAAGAAATGGAACAATTGAGAAGAAAAAGTCCTGGCAGCTGTGAAGAAAGTCTGAAAAAGACTGTAATGCACTAAAATCTACTACCCAGATGTGCCTGGGGTAGGAGCCAGCTCTTTCTGAAGCTAACAACGGAAAAAGCCCCTAAATCACAGCAGGTCCCTGGTGGGTTGGCAGAAGATCTCCATGAATTCTTCTCATAGTGGCACCATGTGTGGAAATGGAGGCCACCCCACAGCATGAAGACAGACAGATTGCCCTGGATGGTGTGACAAAACCCACCCAGCTCATCAGGTTAAAAACTACTGGGAGCAGAGGGCTTCAGCCATCAGGAATCTGCCTTTGATGGTACCCACTGGGTTCACTGGGTGCTCGGGGGTGACCCTGGTACATGGTCAAAGGGAAGAGGTGACGTGGCCCCTGCGGTGCACAGGTTTTTCTCTCTTTGAATCACAGATGCACACACAGGTACGTGAACACACACACACACATTTTTGGATGCTCAGAAGGAAAATCTTTGGCTGTTCTTCAGATTTCTGCAGGAAACACACGATTCTCATAAACTGTGAACAGGCACCACAAAGATTCCCCGTGATTTTGGATGGGCCACTATAGAAAAGAGTTGAAACTGAATACAACAGAGTCTAGACACAAGCTGTGCTTGTGCTTTGATGTGAAAGTTAACTGTTCTGCCATCTCCAGATAACACCATCACCTCACTGCTACCAGCACTGGGGCTTTTCCTTCACAACCCACAACCTGAGTATTTTTCCTGGCTTCAGTCCCATCAGATGACCCAGACTCCATCTTTAAGGCCCAAATATCCCGCACTCAGCATGGACTAGACAACAATTCAAGAAGGGTCTATATTTGGAATTAAATATGTGTCATTATTTATTTTGCTGCAGCAGAAATGGTTCTGGAAAAGAACAACGCGGGCTAGTTGCTGGTGGCCTCCCGCTTACCAGAAATCTCCTCTTCCCATCAAAGTGAGATTACAGATGCCTTCTGCAACCTCATCAAGATCTTCCTTTCCTGGTATTCTGAACTATGTTTGAATAGCTTAGAGCAGCATTGCACAATGTGCTGTGTGGTGCACAAGGTAAGACTTCTATGTCTTATTTTCTTCTCCCTGTAGCACAGTCCAACCCCCATACTGGAAAGATGAGATTAAGAAGAGAGCAGAGGATTAGCTGAAATGCCATCTGAGAAAAGACCTCAGTCAGACAGTCATGGAAAGGGATATCTAGAAGTGTGTGGATGGTGCTTGTTGGGATTGGACTAAGGGTTAACCCCCCATGCTGAAGGAACTGGGTTTACATGGGAGGGTGCTCAACCAATCTACCGTGTGAGAGAAAAAATGGGGCTTGAGCAATAGAAGTCACTGTGCTGAGCAAACGAGGTAATAAAATAATCCCAAAGCTGAAGGTTTTGTGGTGCAAAAAGCAAGGAGAACAGCAAACATGTCACCTAAACACCGCTCTCCTCTCCTTGGTCCATCTGCAGCGAGGAGAGGTAGTGAAAGCAGGGAGAGGGAAGTGAACGTTCACACACCAGCACTTCTCAAGAAAGGAAAGAGCTATTCTGAGGTGGGCTCTGCAGGTCTGAGCTAAAGCTCTTCTCTGCCATTCATTACCAGACCGCACAGAAGACAGCCCGAGGTCACGTCCCCTGGGGTATCCCTGGAGATGGGGTCAGCCCTGCTCTCCATCTACCCTCCTGCTGAGACAGCATTTGTGCGTTACACCAGCACTCCCGAAACCCTCCCACAGCTCCCACGGGCCACAGGGCAGTCACCCTCCTACGTGTTCTGTTCATTTTGAAACTCCTCAGCGCACAGAACAACATTCCTTAACAACCCTGGCCTGAGCTACGTGTCCTGGGAGTACCCCTTAGGAACGACTATCCCCATCTCACCCCATCGCCCAGTGAACATCATCAATCACATCCCTCATTGCACAGCGAACAGTGCGGAACACAGCGGCAGCACTCTCAAGTTACCGGTGGGACAAAGCAGACAAAGTAGACAGAGTTAACCCCAATCACACAAAGTTATTCAGCAGGTCGAGGCACAGCCAATCCTCACCTCCTCCTCCTCTGGCTCACCGCTTCCAAGGGGCTGATACTTCTGTGCGAGGCGGAAAAACAGCTTCTTCTGGAGGAGTTTGGCGAAACCTCCTTCTACCATCTTCACAGCGTGGAGATGGGATGGTGCCACCCGCTGCCAGCAGCTCTGGCTCCGGTTCCCCTGCGAGCACAGGGCTCTGGTCACAGCAGGGAGAGGAGGCAGGTTTACCTGATGCCAAGTCACGCCTTCGGCCGCAGGTGCCGGCGGGATGCAGCGATGCAGGGTGCTTCCCCCATCCACCCCTGCCAGGAGCTGCGTTTGACACCGTGCCTGCTACCGGAGTGAGGTGTCCCTACGCAGCACCTGCAGAGCAGGTTGTGGGCTTGCAGCTCTGCGTTTAACTCCTCACCCTCTGAACAAGCGATGCGGGAGTTGCCCCGGCACGGGCAGGCAGACAAGGAGGGTGTTTTGCCAAGGCCGCTGCGTGCAGAGGCAGGTCAGGTTTGCACACTCTGCAGAGCCTGTTTGTAAACTTCCAGGCTGGGAAAATCCTCCTTCGGAAATGCTCCAGTCAGCACAACGCTGGTATTTAGAAGTGTTTACATTAGGGAAAGGGCACAACGTGTGGATTGGTGGTGCTCATTTATAAACCCCACTGCCTTTCATTCTCTCTTCCATGGTGGATCTCAGTATGCAACTAAAGTGAACCATTTACATCATCTCTGAAGATGTATAGCTGCCTCTCGGTGAGCATTATGCTCTGGTTTGCACCGGGACACCTCCATCCTCCTGCAGGCATCATACCTACAGGATTCACTGAGGCTCAAATTGTCTCTGAGGTGCAAACTATGAGATTACAATCCTCCTTTGACAGTAAAAACTGCATCAAGGGAATTAAATGTCATTCCCAGTCAGAGAAAAGCCATTTTCTGCAGGGGAACAGCTTTCTCATAGGACACCCAGGTGCCGACTCCACAGCTCTGGAGCAGTGGAGGTGACACCAGGACCACACTCCCCTTTAGGACAGCCCATGGAACCCAGAACCTGGCCAGCTTCCACCAAACGTGCAGCATTTCACTGTTACCTATTTGCATCTCCCAGGTCCCACTGGCTCTAGGGAAAGCTGAAGAGCCCTGTGGGACACCCCACCATCACAATGGGCTTTGCAGCTGCAGGTAACATGCTGGAGCAGCTTCTTTCCACACTCAGGAGAAAATGAAGCAATTGGGAAACACCCTGCAAATATCCGGGCTCTCATAAAGCACAGCTAGTGCCTCCTAACTCCCTCGGCTCCTGGTTGAGAAATGCTTTCCTAATGACCCCAACTGGATGCGTCAGGCAGATGAGGGAAGTTCCTGCATTGCTGCAACACCCCTCCTCCCTCCGATGGGAAAATACTCAGGGATAATGCTGGGTACTGATTTTCCAGCTGCTCACATCCAGGCCCTGCCGAGGGCTCAGGGGAGGTGCTCAGCCAGGGCTCAAAGGGGTACATAGAGATTTAGACCTTATCGAAATGTGTGGGAATTCGGTGGTAACACATCTCTGAGCTCACAAATGCTTCCCAACTGGTCCCCTCCTTCTGTAACTATTGCAAGGATCTGGAGCGCAGCCAGCTGGCTCTGCCCTGGTCCTGATAAGGTAAAGCAGGCACTGCCTGGCAAGGAAATACATTCTTCTGTTCATCTGAGTGTGTTTGTAGTAGTGATAGCCTTGGGATCACACTGATCCCCGTGTCTCTGATTGATAGAAAAGTGGTAAAAATTCATCTTCCCCCTCTCTAGAGAGGTGGGAAAAAGATTTCCCTTATTCTTGTTCTTGCTTTTCTCATCTCCAAAACCTCACCCATCAATCCAGGAAATTTCCTTGGGTTTATTCCTGCTTGTCTCATCCCAAACCCTCTCCCATCATCCAGGAAGCCAGCACGTATCAAGGGGAGTCCTCCCAGGGCTCTGCGGTGTGCAAGGTGTCCGTGGACGGCACAGCCTGAGTATGGCTTTCCCATGCAGCTGATTGAGCAACAGGTTCTTGCTGACTCCTTCCTTGTTTAACTTCCTTCTATTGGCCAAAAGCTGCTGCTTGTGGAAACACATGTTGCTCAGTGCTGTGTACACAACCAGGGAACCAGACCCAGAATGCCTGCAGTGTGGGCTCATCCACATCCCAGCTCCCTCCTGGCCTCGCACAGGGATGAGGGCTGGTGCAGTGAGGGGTTCAGCAAAACAGGAGACAAACAGGACCTAGAACAGGAGAAATACGGGTTGAGGAGCATAATAATGTACCATAAGAATCAGTGCTTTGTGGTTTGTTACCCAGCAGACCTGCACCTCCAGAGAAGCTGTAGTTTGGGGTCAGGACTGTGGCCCTGTCTGTAACCTTCCTGTCCATTCAGTTCTGTAACATAAGATTACATTTTAGCACCAATGAAACTGAATAAATGCAGAAAGGAAATGTAGTTGTGAGTATTTGCCACTCATTCTGCAGAATTGCTGAATGGACTTAAATTTCATTTGCTAGGTGCTTTTGGGAAAAGCCTGTTAGGAAATCTAACGGAAAATCAATGTGTTTTGCTGTCTCATGGCTCAGAAAATGCTGGGAATAAACTGAATCGAGACTATATTGTAAAGAAAACAACACTAATACAAGCCTTACTTCTTTATTCTGGTGTGAGACACAATTTTCACACTATGAAAACGTAACACACAGCCCAATTACAGCACCTTCATAGTATTTCCTATTTAATTGGATAAAAAAACCCCTCCATTCTAAGTAGGTTATTTGGGAAAACTTTTGTTTTTCTTTTAAATAGCAAATATCTGTTACGAAAACACACACAGTAAAGCAGCTGTAATCTGAGATCATGTCAGCCCAAAAGGTCTGCTTTCAGTTCAAAACTCACAGCTCTTTTACCTGCTTCCCTCACCATAACCAGGGCTGGCCACACTTCTGTTCCTCTTGTGCCCTCTTGAGGGAAAAAACCTCTGGTGCATAGTCAGAATGCAATGTTTGCTGATTCCCAAAAATCCCAATATTCTGCTTTCAGGTGAGCTTTATTTCCCAGGCCTCTGGGCAGAACATCCTCTGCCCCTGGTAATAAAAACAAAGTACAAAGGTTTGGGCCGTGGTTCCTTTCTGTCTTGTCAATGCTAGTGACACAGGCTTGGTAAAAGCCTTAGGTCTGTCCCTCGGTGTGTCACCAGGAAGGAAGGGGGAATTTAATGAAATCTTTTTGTTTCTGGTTTTCTGGGAGACTCATCTGGTGGTGCAGCTCAGGCTGGGTGAAATAAGCCCCAACATGCACATTTCTGTCTCGGAAACTGGCTTTCTGATACCTTGGAAAAGGTCTTTTTTGTTTTGTGCATCTTCTGCCATGGTTCCTGCTACTCTGTCTACATAGAAAAGTAACAAGAAGGAGAAAATAAGGGCAACAAAGAGGACTTACCTCTGTAGACTCACCAGCAAAAGGTGTCCTTTATATTTATCTCTAAAAGATGGCAAATGATGCTGTAAATCCTTTTGCCATAGACAGACAACTGTTGCTCACATCTAGCCTGCGTAGACAGTGAGGTGGGACGCAACCCTTGTATGAACAAATCCTGCCATGCAATGGGCAAAGAGAAACTGTCAGTCTCCAAAGACTCTCCTATGGATTGTCTCAACCTCGTAGGCTTCTTTACTGCTCACAAAACAATGGAGCATCTTCCTGAAGGTAATCAAAACGCTTCTGGACCATAAAGCTTAAGAGAGCTCTGAACCAAACAGGTCAAAATTATAACAATTTATTATTATTATTATTATTCTCATATTTACAACTTGGGCAGATGGCTGACCTAGAGATGCACGCTGGGGTTTTAATACAGACCTCTGGCTTCTCAAGGTTTGTTATAATGTTTGTCCTCCTGTTGATTTCCAGCTGTTGGTTTCAGGGATGCACCCACAGCACTTCAGTGCCATCTGCAGATGATGCCTTAGGTTACACAATGTTCTTTCCACAAAGACCATAAGCCAATTACATCAGCAGAAACTATACTTGCTTGCATTAACATGGAAACAAGCTGAGATCAAAGCATAATTTTGCGGTGTTCACCAAATAGGTCCTTCTCTTGAAAGCCAAAGTACTTGATCTTGCTTATTTTTACTTCACAGCAGGAGGCACGAACTATGTGCACACATCCATGATCTCCCCATGCAATCAGGCCATATGACCATTGCCATGAGAAGTTCAAGTGATCCCAAGGGTAACTTCACTGCCATACTGAAGAACTGCCTTGACACCTAGTGCTAGCCGGTGTCTTCTCAGAACCCACAGAAAACCTTTCCAAGGCCATGAAACCCACTGCTGTTCCCTCCTTGGCTCCATCACAGGCAGTTCCACTCTCTGTTGTCAGGGGAGGGCAGAAGGGAAGCAATGCAGAGGGACTCCTGCCCTCTCCTGATGAGCAGGTAGAACAAGACTGGTGTGGGTGGAGCTGGTGGGACGGGGAAGTCTTGCCTGTTCCCGGTAACATAGTGCTCAGTGGCTCAACCTGTCAGCGGCAGGCTCCTCTTCCAGCTCTGGTTTCCTGCAGTGGGCAGCTCCATGACCTCTATCTACTTGGTTTTCTTGTTCATGTTTGGAGCAAGCCTTGGCCTCCTGCAGATCTGTCTGAGCTGGCCACTGAAAGCCATACAGCGGCAAACAACAGCTCTGAATCAACAAGGAAAATGCCTGGTCAAATAAAAGGGTCACCTTCTACTTAGGTCACCATCACTATCCTCTTTACAGTACTGTCCATCAGCTCCTCTCTGGGCAGTGGAGATGAAGGCAGCAAGAACTGAGTGCCTGACCCACAAAGGCGGCCCCTCTGGAAGGGGACACTGGTGGAAGATGTATTTTAAGGGTCTGTTACCTCTCTTCCAGTCAACAAAATGACTTTTTTCTCCCTGTGCCTATGTTCTCTGAGCTCTCCCAACAACTAACTTTTAAAAGGTTTGTCCTTTTTCCCCCCATAATTCAAAGTCAAGCATCATGTCAAGAACAGACAAGTGAAACAAGGCAGAGTTGAAAAATATACTGGTCACTTTTTATTGAGCACCAAAGTGGCAGAACCTGAACATGTCTAAGCACCAGGGCACAAACC